ATTCACCTTAATAAAAACTATTGAATACTTAATGATGTCAAATCATTTAGAATATATATTCTAATTTATTAATATATTATCTAATTTGACAACCTTATGAGGTGGATGTCAATTTATAGATTAGGTCATCAAGGCTTAGAGATTTAAAGTAATTTATCTTTGTTCACTGAAGGAGCTCTGGTAGCGTAGTGGTTACAAATCGGGCTGCAAACCTCAAGGTCAGCAGTTTGGAACTACCAGCTGTTTTGCGTGTAAAGATTTACAGCCTCAGAAACCCTGCACAGGGTCACTAGGAGTCGGAACCAACTCCATGACACATAACTACCACCACCACCATATAAATTCACTCAGCTAGTAAGGTCTAGAGTACAGTAGTCAAGCACAAGTTCAACCTGATCCTCAAGTCTCTCCTTTCAACCATTACAATATATTGTGTCTAAGGCACTCTTTAGGAGCTCTGGTAAAGTAGTGGTTGCGAGTTGGGCTACTAACCTCAGGATCAGCAGTGTGAATCAGCAGTTCGAAACTACAAGCGATTCCACCAGAGAAAGACGAGGCTTTTTGCTCCGATAAAGATTTACAGTCTCAGAAACCCTATGCAGGGTCACTATGAGTCAGAACCCACTCCACGGCACATAACCACCACCACAAAGGCTCTGGTAGCATAACTTCAAGGTCAGCAGTTCAAAACTTCCCATTCAGTTTGTGGGAGAAAGATGAGGCTTTCTGCTCCTGTACAGATTTACACCCTCAGAAACCTTATTCAGGGTCGTTACAAGTTGGAACTGACTCCGCAGCACACTGTCACTAAGGCACTCTTTATAAAGTATGTTCACAAGGATGCTTTTTCTGCTAATTAAGCTAATGTTGTATTTCCAAGTAATTAGCATCAACAGATCTTTGCTGAGTTTCTAGTATCCACCTCTCCCTCTTTTTAAATTGTGAATTGATTGACGATTTATAAAGCAGATCATCAGTTTTACATTCAACAAATCCTTTCATCTAGATTGCAAAAATGTGATATCACTTATCCCACTTCTCTCTGTGTTGTGTTTCTTGTTTCCATTCCTTGTGAACTTTGTCCTGAGGTAAATGTTGCCCTTTTGATCTTGAAGGTTGAGCCATTCTTTGGCATGCATACCTCACTAGTGTTGTTGTCCGCTCATATACCTTTTTATTACTTGGCTGAAAATTGAGCCATTGGAGTGAGTTCAGTTCAGCACCTGAAGGGTGACCAAAGGCCATAGTCACCATCTGACCAGTAAGCCTGGTCTTTTTTATGATTTTGAATTTTGTCCCACATTTTCTCCCACTCTATCCAGGACCTTCATGATGCACATGGATCTAATATGATCCATTTCAGAGCAGCTGGTAGTGGTAGCCTGGTACTATCTAGTTGTGTATCATAGGGTCTTGGAGACAGATTGTCATAATCCACTGGACTAATAGTTTCCAGGTATCTTCAATTCTCATCATTCTTATTTCCTCCAGACAAGGAGAGTACTAATAGTTGCATTTTAGATGACCACTCATAAGCTTGTTTTCTTTTTAATTTTTTATTGTGAACTGGTGGTTTACAGACAAGATCATCAGCTCTACATTCAGGAAATCATACACCTCATTCAGCTCAGTGATTACAATCCCCTCTATGCAACAACGTTTATCTCACTTCTTCTGAGCTTTTTGGGTCTGGGAATCTATGTTAAAGGTCCCTATAAACTGTCATAATAAGACCATCAAATGGGCTTTTTGCGCTTTTTTTTCCAGTTAAGAATTTGGTCATGTGTTTTGAAATATTTGTGCTTTGTAAAAAAAACAAAAGATCCCTAGGTGGTTCAAGCAGTTTTCATTAGACTATTTACCAAAAGTTGGTGGTTCAAACTGTAAAGATTACAGTTAAAAAATAAATCCTACTGAGTAGAGTTCTACTTTGTAACACATAGGATTGCCATAAGACAGAGTCCACTTAACTTGATAGTTGTTGTTGTTAAGTGCCATCGAGTCAGTTCTGACCCATAGCGACCGTATATAGGGTTTCCGAGGAGTGACTGGTAAGCTTGAACCCCCAACCTTGCATTAACTCACAACACCACACCAGGATGCCAACTTGATGGTAACAGGTAGCAAAAACAAAATGACAGTTTGACATAAATCCTTGCAAACATGCAAAGTTTAAAAATATGCTAGCTTTCTAAATATTCTATTAAAAGATCACGTAAGACGGAATTGATGCTACTTTCTAGCCATGAGGCCTTTGATAAATAAATAGCTTTCCTCTTTGTACCTTGGTTTCCTCATGTGTAAAATGGGGGTAATGTTGGTACCTATCTTAGTACCATTGGTACACTTGGCTATTAACCAAAAGGTCAACAGTTCAAACCCACCAGTCTCTCTGTGGAAGAAAGATGTGGCTGTCTGCTTCTATAAAAATTTGCAGCCTTGGTCACCCTATGAGGCCTTTCTACTCTGTCCTATAGTGTCACTACGAGTCAGAATCGACTCATAGGCAGTGGAGTTTTTGTTGGGGTTGATCTCATAGAGGAATTCTTGGATAGTGCAAATGGTTGATGTGCTAGGCTACTAACTGAAAAGCTGGAGATCCAAGTCCATCCATAAATAGTTCAGAAGACTGGTCTAGAGATCTACTGTCTTCAAATAACCATTGACAACTTTATGGAGCACAGTTCTATTCTGACACACATGGGTCATCATGAGTAAGAACTAAGTTGACAGCAGTTGGTATCTCTGTGAATTCTTGTGAGGATTAAAGAATTCTTTAATTCTTTAATGTGAATTCTTGTGTGAAGAATTTAGAATGATTCTGGTACTTTGTAAGAGATCAATAAACATTAAGGAATGCACAGAAGGAAAAGAGAGGAAGTATGTTATAATGGGGAAAACTAGGTTTGAATGCTGGTGCTACCATGTACTGGCTGTGTGAGCTTGGGCAAGTTCCTTAATTTCTTTGATTCTCAGTGTTATTATCCAGATTGTTGTAAAAGATTAAAGACAACATGTGTGAAGTACCCATTGTTCAGTCAACTTTGATTTATGGTGATCCTATATGTAGTAAAGTGGAAAGCCAGTGGAAAAAGAGGGAGACCTCAATGAGTGGGAGGAGCAATGGGCTCGAGTGTAGCAACAGTTGTGAGAACGCGGCAGGACCTGGTGGTGTTTCAGTATGTTGTACATAATGGGGTTGCTATGGGCCAGAACCAACTTGAGGGCACCTAACAACAACAAAAAAAAACTTTGAGTAAATTCCTTAAACTTGTCATCATTTTCTTTGTCTGCAAAATGAACATACACAAAATGGTTGCCCTTCTAGATAATTATATCTAGAAGAAGAAGAAATCTCTGCACGAGTTTCTTCTTCTTCTAGATATAATTCATTTACTATAAAAGTCACAAAGTGCATAATTCAGTGATTTTTAGTATGTTACAAATTTGTGTAACCACCAACTCTAATTCCAAACATTTTCTTTACTCCAGAATCAAACCTTGTGACCATTGGCATTCATTTCCAATCTCAACCTCACCTGACTCTCTTGTAACCACTAATTTACTGTCTGTTTCTTTGTTTATTCTGGATATTTCATACAAACCAAATCGTGGAATAAGTGACCTTTTTTTTGTGACTGTTTCTTTTTTTCCACTTAGCAAGTTCCCATGATTCCACCACATTATAGTATGTATCAGTATTTCATTCCTTCCTATCTTTTAAAAACATTATGGGATTTTTATTAATTGCTAATCAATCAATAGCTTTATTTTTTAATCTCTTGTTCCTGATGAAATGACTTCATTATAAAGCAAATGTTTTAATACATTGCTTATACTGATGCACGTCAGACACAACTTTATAAGGTGTTATAAACCTTAACAAGGTCGATGGTTCAAACTCACCAGCCGCTCCTTGGAAACCCCTATACAGGGTTGCTATGCATTGCTGCAGGATAATGCACTAACTTGCAAGGTCAGTTTGAACCACAAGGTCAGCAGTCCAAACCCACCAGCCACTCCTTGGAAACCCTATACAGGGTTGCCATGGGTGGGAAACAAGTCGATGGCACTTAACAACAACAACGACTACAGTGGACTCCTGATAAGCCGCTGTAGGATCAGCACTGGACTAGAAATCCAAGTTTGACAGTTCAAACCCATCAGCTGCTCCTTAGGACCCCTATACGGTGTCACTAAAAGTCAGAACTGACTCGATGGCACGTAACAACAACAACGACTACAGTACTTTGTCTCTATTTTGGACATGTGTTCAGGAAGGACCAGTCCCTGGAAAAGAACATTATGCTTGGTAAAGTGAAGTTGTTGAGTCGGTTTCGACCCATAGCGACCCTGAATAGGGTTTCCGAGGCTGTAAATCTTTACGGGAGCAGATCGCCTCATCTTTCTCCCGCGGAGCAGCTGGTAGTTTCGAACTGCTGCCCCCAACAAGATGGACTGGCACAGTGGTAGCAACAATGGGCTCAAACATAACCACAATTGTGAAGATGAGGCAAGACCTAGCGGTGTTTGGTTCTGTTGTCTATTGGCTTGCTATGAGTTGGAGGTGACAGGTCAGCACTTAACAAGGACTACGGATATGAATACAGATATGAAACACCTTTTCATGTGCTTATTGGCCATTTATATGACATCTTTGAAAAAATGTCTACTTAAACTATTTTCTCATTATTAAATTTTGCTATTTATCTTTTTATTATTGAGTTATGAGATCTTTATATATTCTGGACACTTGTCCCTTAAGCACATGAGTTATTTTGAGTATTAAATTTATACAGTCTGTGAGAGTGGCTTCATAAAGTTTAAGAGATGACCCAAATGAAGTGAAGGCGATTAAAGTGCAATGACAGATATGAGGTTCCACAGCTGCTGGCGACCCCGAAGTATTTTGAGAGTAGGAGACGCAGCCAGGTACCCTCAATTTCCCCACCCCACCAAGCCCCGCCCTCCACCCTTTGACCCGCGCCGTTTCCGGTTGGAGACGTGGCTCGGGGCCGCCATCTTGGCAAGAAGCGAAGTGGCAGCGGCTCCTGTCAGGGGGGCAGCAGGTCCTGAGTGGCCGGTGCTCCCCTTCCCCTGACCCCAGCTCTAGCCCCAGTGGAGCCGGAGCGCGGGTGCGCCCCACCACCGCCTCACTATGGTAAGATTCAAGCTGGGCCCGAGCTCGGGGTCTTGGCCTCGCTTGGACCCTCTCCCTGCCGGACGGCCTGGTACCGGGGCCCGAAGAGCCGCGCCCCGAGGGCCTCAGGCCGGGCGCTACGCTAGGTCTCGGGAAGCTGTGTGGCCTACGCTGCTATTTCGGCCTCCAGTCCTTCTGTGGTCGCGCCCACCCTACTCCCTAATCCGCTGGACTCCCTCTTTTCCTAGGACCCGGCTCTTCAGGCGGGACCAGGGTCTTGACTCTGCGAGAACGTTGTCGTGGGTGTCCGCGGGGCTCCAGACTGCGGTGCTAATGCCGTCCAGTTCCTTGGACGCTTAGGCTCCAACATAGGCCTCTCTCCTTCCTTCTTATTCAGCTCGTCTCTCCTCCCCAGTGTTCCGGACTTTTTCTTTTGTTTGTCGGAATGGGGGAATAGCGTAGAGCGGACAGGAATAACTTCTAACACTGATTGGGAGGTCCGACACGGATACCTGGTGGCACAGGGGGTTCGACGCTGGCCTGCTGGTGGGAAGGTCGGTAGTTCGAGCCCTCCAGTCTCCTCTGTAAAGAGTTACACAAGCCTCGGAAGGCCTATGAAGCAGTTCTCCTCAGCCCTATAGAATTACTGTAAGTCGAAATCGATTCGACGATAGTGGGGGTGTGGTGTGAATGCGCCCGAAAAATCCGACTACTTTTGCAATAGAACGTACTGGCCTCCATTTGTGGGTGTGATTGAGAGTTGGCTGTGTGCAAAGCACTGGGGAGACGTTGAGGAGGAACCAGATGACAGGATTGCTGCCTGCCAGGAATGACTGGATTGTTCTGGGGAAGAAAATGTGTGTATGTGTGGTTTACGGTAATCGCATGTCTTCTTATCTTTTCTCTCTCTGTGCCCTCACCCTTGTAGAGAGGGAAGAAATGAATGCAGGCGGGATGGAAGAAAACCCAGAACTGCTGACCTGACTGAATCTTTCTTTATCACTACTGAGTCGTGGTAGTTCTGTTCCAGACAAGCTAGTATTATAATTTTTAGTGCAACGCTATGGGTCGATACTGACTTGATGGCACCTAACAACAACATACGCCCTCCAATCTTTTGAAGGATATTCCAATTTTTTAATTTAATAATTTGATTGAAACCATCTTCCCAAAAGTTTTGCGAATAACAGCATAATTTGGTGTCAACTATATACAGTAAGTTCTGTTGAGGATTTTGGAGCAAGAACTTGAGAGGTGGTGGGGCTTGATGCCTAGGTTCTATACCACTGAAAAGTTTGCTTCATAAAACTTTTGTGGAAGGCACAAAATTTCCAAAAACTTGTTTTTTCAATTCTAAGTCAAATACTCAGAGTAAGGATTTTTAAATCCTTTTCCTTTTACACATGGGAAGTATTTTTCATGTATTTTAAGCATATAATTTTAATAGCAAAATTAAAGTCTTGCATAAACTAAATATAGATAACTCTTACCAAAACCTTGCTTATATAAAAGGTTCTTGGAATTTTGTGTATTAAATCATCAACAAGTAAAGGATTGTAAAACCCTAGGTATTGAATGATGATAAAGTATAGATTATAATATGTTGTAATATAGGTAAGCAAAGATTAATATAGAATGTGATAAAATGTATTGCTAGCTTGTTTGGAATAGAAGAATTTCCACAAATCAGTAGTGATGAAACAAGATTTAGTGGGGTCAGCAGCTTTGCATTTTGTCCCATCCTCGCCTGAGTTAATTTTTTTGGATAGTTGTGCATATTCATACAGTTGTGTACTTTTTAAGTGTGCATATGTTATTGTTGTTGTTAAGTGCTGTTGGTAGCGTAGTGGTTACGAATCGGGCTGTGAACCGCAAGGTCAGCAGTTCGAAACTACCAGCGGTTCCGCGGGAGAAAGAGGAGGCGTTCTGCTCCCGTAAAGATTTACAGCCTCGGAAACCCTGTGCAGGGTCGCTATGAGTCGGAACCGACTCCACGGCACTTAACAACAACAACAACAAGTGCTGTTGAGTTGATACCAACTCATAGTGACCCTGTATAGGGTTTCCAAGGAGCTGCTGATGAGCTTGAACCACAACCTTGGTTCAGAGCGAACTTTAGCAGTCCAGCGCATTAACCCATACATAGCACCACACCACATGAGGAAGCTACAAAAAGTTTGTGAAACAATGGTATTAAAAGATAATGAAAGTTTTTCACAAACTTTTTGAGATTTTTCCTTGGTATGTTTCTGAATTGTGTGGAACTTGGCATGATCCAGATACACTGGAAAACAACTTACCTTAGATCATCCTGCTCTGTAGTCCTAAGAATTATTTCTGTTTAATATCCTTAGGTTCTACTCCTTTATAGTGTTACAAATATCAAAATAGGGTGAAATTTTGGGATTGTATTATGAGAGGACTTTGATTTAAAAGTTGTATTAAAACTTAAAAAATTGATTTGTTTTTTCTCAATATTTTATTATAAAATTTCAAATAAAGTTGAAAGAACTTTACAGTGAACATCAGCTAGTTTCTATCATTAACATTTTACCTTATTTGTTTTGTCATACTTCTAGTCATCCTCCCAAGGAGCTCTGGTAGCGTAGTGGTTACGAATCGGGCTGCGAACCTTAAGGTCAGCGGTTCGAAACTACCAGCTGCTCCGCGGGAGAAAGATGAGGCTTTCTACTGCCGTAAAGATTTACACCCTCGGAAACCCTGTACAGGGTCGCTATGGGTCGGAACCGACTCAACAGCACTTAACACACACACACACACAATCATCCTCCCATGCGTTTTAAAAATGTATTTCAAAGAAAATTGCAGATAACAGCATATAGAAGTTAATTTTGCCTTTAGATACTGAAGTATGTGGAATATCTTAGACTACAAAGTCTATATAAATGAACAAATGCAAAAGCAAATGAGGACTTTGTTATAGAAATAAAAATGTCTTTTTTGCAAATTCATGAGATAACATTCTTAACATTAGTCAGAAAACGTTATGGTGATGGTAGTGGTGGTGTGCCATCAAGTCATTTCCACGTCATAGCGATTTAGGAAATCCACGGTGTAGGATTTCCAAGACTAAATCTTTAATGGGATCAGAAAGCCTCATCTTTTTCCTGAGGAGTGGCTGGTGGATTCGAGCTGCTGACGTGGCAGTTAGCAGCCCAAACAGGTAACCCACTATGCTTCCAGGGCTCCTTAGATAACATTATAATTAGTTCTTTTTCTTAATAAACTTGCATTTGAATGCGTAAACTTGGTATTAAGTTTTTTGTTTGTTTGTTTTAATGTTTTATTGTGAATTAATGTGATAGTTTACATGGGAGAACATCAGTCTTACATTCATTCTATCATATATTGTCTCTCATTGCCATGGTTACAATCCCCTGTATGCAATCCTTCCCCCATCCCCCCCAGGTCTTCAGCACACAGT